CTGGGGATTCGAACCCGCCACCTTAGGTGTATGTGGCTGGAGCCTTAGCCGCTTGAGCCACAGGCGCCGAGCCGTATGTACAGTTTCAATGCAGGCTCATCCACTTAGAGTCGCAGGAAGTTGGAGATGGAAGCTGTCATTTATGCCCAAATTCTGGTTGTTTAACAGGGAAAAACAAGTCCCCAAGAGCAGAACGGGCTTGTGTATATGTAACAGAAGCCAGAGTGCCCCAGGCCACTCCTGGGAGTCTGAGGACAGGACAAGCCCAGGAGAAACAATTTCCACAAATGCAGTTGGCTCATATGGGAGATAATTCCTCACAGGACCTATGCCTGGACTCTGGGGCACTAGGTCCACAGTCTGCTGCTCCCCAGCCCTTTCTATCCTGAGGCAGCTGGGGGGTCCTGGCCACCCCCAAATGGCAGCTGTTGGTCAGGAAATGCCCCCGTTCCACCCTTTAGCATTCTCAGCATGGGCTCTGAGATTTCCATGGAGGGCAGTGACCTGCCTTTGCACTGGAGGCAAGAGGGCCTGTTTGGGGCTAGAGCAGGAGTAGGGTGTGGGGGAGGGGCACAGCTTGGGTGATAACTGCAGAACAGTCACACAGGGTAGTTTTAAACCCCAGGCCCTCTCTGGAGGCAGCCAAGAGGCATTGGGGAGCCTGGGATTACCATGGAGACAGGGCTGTGCCCAGCCTTGCCTGCCAGAGGGTGGAGGGGAGAGCAGAGTTACTAGGGGAGCCCTTTCCCTGGATGGGATCTCACCCTGTTCTCTCTCCTTCAGTCCGGCAGAGATTCACTGAGAACCAGACCTCTAGGCTGCCAGCTGTGTCAGACCAACTGCTGGGGAGTGTTGGGCGATGGCTAGAGACTCTGCCCAAAGCCCTGTACCTGGGGGCCAGGGAAGAGGCCCTGACCAGCTCTTCCTGCTGGAACTTCCCCAGCCTGTGAGATACTAGGGAAAGAGCAGGACTCAAGGGCATTGCCAGGGTTCCCCCTCCTTGCCCTAAAGACCTTCCCAGCCAGTAGCAGGCACGTTGCTAGTCTGGGCCCTCAAGGGCCCTGCCAGTGAGGGGTGGGCCTGGGACTCGGGATACATGAAACTCATGGGCTCCTGTCTCCCCCAGGTTCACCAAGGAGCTGCAAGGCCACTTGTCTGAAGACACCCCTATGAATATCAGCCTGCCCTTCATCCCTAGGGCCACCACCCCGAGGCAGCGGGGGGACCTCCACAACTTAATGAGCACCCACAACATCCTGGAGAAGATGGGCAAACCATCCTACTCCTGGAATCAGAAGCTGGTGAGCACCTGCCAGTAGCCACCACGGGGAGCAGCCCTGCTTGGCAGGATGGCCAGGGCTGGGAGTACCCTCCCTGCACACTCAGCATGGGGGGGTGCAGTGGCCAGGCATTGCGTACCTGCATCTCCCTCAAAGTGCAGCAGTCAAGAGGGTGGTCTCCAGGCTGGGCCTGCTGGGTTCAGATACCAATAGCACACCCGCAGGCCATGGGACCTTTCTGCATCTGTTTCTTCATCTCTGAATTAGGGCTGCCCCCTAGAGCTGTGGTGGAGAATCTGCTAGTACCAGGGAGCCCCATCCCTTGCCCTGAAGTCCCAGCAGTACTCAGCTGGTTCTCCTCCTCATCTAGGAGTCTTTCCTGCCCAGTATGGTGCTGCAGTCGGTCCTGAGGCGAAGCCGCCCCAAGGACTACCAGCTCTTCCTGCCATCTATGACATTGCAGCGGACTCAGAGATGAAAACTCATCAGCCCATGCCCAGTGGCACCAGCAGGTCAGGGAGTGACAAGGGTCCACTTTTGCCCTACAAATAAACACACACCCCAGCTGGCTGGGGCCTGCCACTAGGTCTCATGGTACAAGCCTCTCCAGGTACCTGACTGCTCATCTTAGGGTTCCTGGGTCAGAGGAGGAAATGGGTAGAATCACAGCTAGAATGAGGCTGAGGGGTAGGGCAAGGCATCATTAGGGTTCAGGGCTTGTTTGGAGTGACCCCCACTTCTGGAAGGTGGGAGACCCTGCCCACGCACCTCAAACCTGAGACTAAGCCTCTGTCAACTTAGATCAGCCTACACCTGAAGCAGGCAACCTGTGGTGACCTGAATTTGGGGGAGAACCACTGGCCTCCCACCCCTACCCATGCCAGCCTCCATCTTTGACACTAATGGCTGCTTTGCTGACCTCCTACCACTGAGTGAGGCCAGGGAAAAGTGCCCTGTGTGTGAGCAGTGTTAGTTCTCTGCATTTTCCTGGCCATGTTCCTACTATCTGGGCCCTGGAAGGGAAACCTCTGTATGGGCTGGGGACAGGGTGGGGGGCAATATTCAAATCTGCATCAGGAGAGCTGACCCAACTGTAAGCCCTGGCTACTGAGGTGGCTGAGGCAGGAAAGTCACTTGAGCCCAGGAGTCCAAGACGCACCTTAAATCTGTATCAGGGACAGCGCCTGTGGCTCATTGGGTAGGGCGCCAGCTACTACCTACTGAGGGTGGCAGGTTCAAACCTGGCCCTGGCCAACTAAAACAGCAGTGACAATTGCAACAAGAACAAAAAAATAGTTAGGTGTTGTGGCCGGCGCCTGTAGTCTCAGCTACTCGGGAAGTTGAGGCAAGAGAATCATCTAAGCCCAAGAGTTGGAGGTTGCTGTGAGCTGTGACGCCTCTACAGAGAGCAACAAAAGAAGACTCTGTCTCAAACAAAACAAAACAAAATAGTATCTGGAGGTGGTAAATGACAAGGTGGCAGGCGCTGATCCAACACCCCCAGTGCACCCCATACCTGCTTTCCAATCCCCTGGAAGTTTGAGCCCACTCCTCTCTCCTTGAAGTTGCCCTTTACCCGCCTCTCCCCCTCAACATTGCCCAAGATCCGGGTCTTTATCGCCACCTCCTGACCAGGGAGGAAACAGTCAGGAATCCACCCAGGCGCTTAGTTTCCACAGCAAAGAACTGGGCTGTTCCAGGTAGGTTTGTACTGAACCGTGGTTGGTGGGCGGTCTTGAGGCTGGATGGATTGTGGATGGGGTAGGCCTTTTGTGAAGAGGAGGCCTGGCTCCAGAGGAAAGCCGATACATCTAGGCACACTTTGCATGAACCCTGCGAGGGTCGGAAAGGGGCAAAGCTACAACCGCCCCTCCACGGGGTCTGGAGCGGGTTTCAAACCCTGGGATGTTCTCTTCCCTCCATCACCCTTTCTGAACTGTACACGTCTTGCCAACCCAACCTTTCTAGTGCCTGGAGAGTCCGCGTGCCTCAGAAGGGGACTGATTCTGCCGCACCTCTCAGTGGCCTTGCGCAGCCCACCTCGTGGTCTCTGAGCCTCAGTTTCCCCCCGAAGAGCCGCGACGGGCCCCAGCCTCGCAGCCGGCTGCTGCTGCGCGTGGCGCCCACGCGGGGGCAGTGTTGGCCTGGGTTTGGCGCCGCTTAGCGTGGCCGAAACTTCTCAGCTTCCTGCCCCAAGGTCGGAAACTTTTCCCCCAGCGTCGCGCTGCGCTGCGGGCGGCTGGGCAGCCCCGCTTCGCTCGGGCCCCGCGGCCTCTTCGCGCCTGCCAGAGCTCATGTCCGGGTCTGGGGCAGGAGTTGGGGGAAGCCGCGCCTCTCCAGCCTCCATCGTCTCTTTGTTGTTAACCCCAAACTGCTAAACTTGCAACCGTGCGGCAGCCGGAGCACTGGAGGCCGAGTCCTCGAGAAGCGCTCCGGGCGCGGGGAGGCGGCCGCGGCAACCCGGACGGTGCCTTGGCCCACCCGCGGCCCCCACGTTCTCCCGCAGGGCCCAGGCTGGGGAAGGGACGCCACGTGGGGTGGAAGCTGGCGGGGCCTTGGGGGTTCCGGTCGATCTCACTCCCGGGGTCTGGTCACCCCGCCCTGCTCGTCCCAGCGCCCTTTCCTGGCTCTGCCCGCGGTGCTCCCGGTTCCCGCCTCCACTGACCACAGACCGCAAACTTGGAGTCTGTGTGTAGAGGATGCGGAACCCCACCTACCCCGTCCCGCCGCTCCCGCTCACACAGAGACACAGATGGACCTGGCACACGGGACGGGCAAACCACAGGGACACATCACCCCCTCCCCAAACACCCCCACAGACATGGACACCACGAACAATTCGTGCACACACGCCAGCACACACGCGTGCCCTCTAACAAGTTAGGGTCTCCAAGGGAACCCGGCCTCCATATTCTGGAGTCTCCTGCTGACCTGGAGGGCATAGATGTCTCTTCACTGGCCCTGTGTAGTTGTGCGTCTGCTTAACAACCTGCCCTCCTCCCTGCTGCCTTGAACTTGGGGTGATCAAGAAGGGGAGTGAGGAGAAACAGCAGGAGTGCTGCTGTAGGGATGGACCCCTGCCCAGTTGTTTTAGGTTCTCTGTCTCTCACCCCTTCATGGCAATGGCTCCAACCCCTCCCTGGGGGTCCCAGCGGGGTCCTTTTCACTGGTGCATTTCTACTCAGGTATGGCGGGTAGCCTGGAGGGTGACAGCCCCTCCCAGGTTCTGGGGAGCAGCATTGCTAGAAGGCCAGGAAAGCGCCTGCTCCCCCCAATCTCAGACCCACCTGAGCTGCTGGGGGACAAGGCAGGTGTACTCCCACAGTCCCAGCCCACCTCAGCTCATCCTGCCTTCTCATTCTCAGCAATCCCACTCTACCCGACCTCACCATGACCTTGCCATTGGCCATAGACAGACCTTGTGCCCAACCAGAGCAAGGGGGAGTGGCGTGGAGAGGCAGGACTGTCACTGCTCCTTTCTCCTGGTGTTCCTGCCTCACCTGGCCTCTGAGACCCCTGCAAGTAAGGTTCCTCAGCCCCATTTGCTGATAAGGATGCTGAAGCCCAAGAGCCTCAGGGGGCCTCACCCAGGCTGAGCTGGCGTTGGACTAGTCCCACAAATGTCTCCTGCCAGTTGAGCCCTCAGCCACACACACAGGAGTTCTCCCTTCAGCTGCCCAGAGAGATGCAGTGCTTTCTCAAGGTCACACAGTTCTAGGCATTTGAGTCAGGATTCAGACTCAGCACACACAAGGAGACACCAACACCCTTCTTCACAGGGGGAGTCCACATCTCTCATTGAAGGCAATCCAATGGGTGATCCCTCTTTCCAAGATGGCAGGAATGTCTGGAGAGACCCTTCCTACAGCACATGGGGCACCGGAAGGCAGGAAGAATCAGGGCAAGGTTAGAGAGAAAGAGGCAGTTATTGGAGAAGGTGGAATTTGGCAGAAACAAAGGGCTGTAGGCGGGCGGCGCCTGTGGAGTAGGGTGCCAGCCCCATATGCTGGAGGTAGCGGGTTCAAACCCAGCCCCAGCCAAAACCTGCCAAAAAAGGGGGGGGGCTGTAGGCACAGGAAGTCTTAGATGCTGGGAGGGCAGGCTGGGCCCCCAACAGTGAGTAGAGAAGGGGGAAGTGGGAGGCACTGCAGATGTGGGACCCAGGTGAAGCAGTCCCAAGGGGGGCTCTAGGCATATGAGCTGGCCTGGTGGGCTTATTTATTTGAGCCCTCTTATCACTCTTATGGACTGAATGTTTGTGTCTCCCCCAAATTCATGTTGGAACCCTAATCCCAATGCAGAGGCATTAGGTGAGGCCTCTGGGAGGTGATAAGGTCATGAAGGGGCCCTCATGAATGGGATCAGTGCCCTAATCAAAGGGGCCCCAGAGAGCTGCCTCATCCCTCCCACTGTGTGGGGACACAGTGAGAAGCTGGCAGTCTGCTGCCCAGAGGGGGCCCTCCCCAGAACCCAAGGGTGCCGCCACCCTGATCTCACACTCTGGCCTCTACACTGTCGCTGATAAGCCACCCAATCTACGCTAACAACAGCTGGAATAGACTCCAACAAGCACCTACTGTGTGCCATACCTGTGCTGGGTTCTGAGCACATGGCAGGCACCAGAATGACTAGCCCTGCCCTAGGGAGCCTACAGTTGGTAAGGGCGTGGACTCAAGTGGGCAATTCCAGGACACGGTGGCACCCAGGACACATACACACACACAGCACGGACAGGCAAACCACAGGGACACAACCCCCCCCCCAACACCCCCCGTAGACACCACACACACATCACACACAGACACACCCTTTGGAAGCAGGGACGGAGTCCCACCCATCTGTGCAGGGAATGGGCTAGACACTTGGGCTCTGTGATAGCCATGAGGTGGCTCAGAACAAACCGCACAGAGGAATGAAGGGGAAGAGAGGGCTCGGCACCTGTGGCTCAAGCGGCTAAGGCGCCAGCCACATACACCTAAGGTGGCGGGTTCGAATCCCCAGCCCGGGCCCGCCAAACAACAATGATGGCTGCAACCAAAAAATGGCCAGGCGTTGTGGCGGGCGCCTGTGGTCCCAGCTACTTGGGAGGCTGAGGCAGGAGACTCGCTTGAGCCCAGGAGTTGGAGGTTGCTGTGAGCGTGATGCCATGGCACTCTACCCAGGGGGATAGCTTGAGGCTCTGTCTCAAAAACAAACAAACAAAAAAAAAAGGGGGGAAGAGAGGTGACTGCACTGGTCCCTTGTGAGGCTGGCACTACAGTTTTCACTGGGGAGGCAAGGGATACAGGAGGGCTTTTGACCAGACAGAGGAAAAGGCTGGTGTTCCCCTAGTGAAGGCAGACGCACACGTGGGTCACAGCCATTGCTGGTTCTAGCTGCTCTGCCACTGGCTGCACTATTTACCCAACTCCTGCCTTCCCTCCCCCAGTGCCTTCTCTCTCTCTCCATTTCTGCTTCTTTGGGTCCTTCTGTGTTCCT